CGATCGCGAAAACCGAAATACGCGGATGACTGGCCGCCGCTACGGTTTGACGATCGGTTTAAAAGGAAAACCGGTTAGAGCGCGGCGTATAACGTGGGCGGGTATTGGAGATGTGCGAAACATTCCGACCCAATTACAACAAAATGTGCATTTCTTATCTACTTTTCCCCAGTTCTATTTCTCCCCAACGTCAACGAGGAACCACCTGTTTGGCACGGGATCAATCCTGTCGTCACTCCGTCGTTCGATGTTTTCTCGGAATCGATGGTCGATCGCGTGCCGGTGACGCGCCGTCCATTTCTCTCCCTCCCGAATCGATTTTCGGGATGATTACATTTTAGAAATGACTTTATATACTACAGATTGTGTACGATATATCTGTACAGTCACGCGTGCCAAATTCCATAACCGTTCAAGTGTGGTCGTAACGCGAGATCGTTACGATCTTTCGGGTGAAAAGAATTCGCTTTCATCGATTAACACTATTATCGTATGTAATCAATTTATTCGGTTTCGATCGTTTGTCGAAATCTTATCGAGATGAATTTATTCTCACGATTCAAAATGGGGGAAGCGATCTGTAAAAGAGGACGATCTTCGAGAATTCCTCGGGAAAAAAGGAGAATTCTCTCGTTAAAGGAGTCGAGAAATATATGTTGATCGGGGGGATAGATAAAGAAACGCGAGGAGAGAAAAGAAGTGAAAAGAAATAGGAATAGAGGGGAGTCGGGGATTTAACCTGTAACCCGGTAACGAGACGACGAATGGAATGGAATGGGAAGGAGAAAGGAGAGGCGAGGGAGGGAGCGTCGTGAGAGAAAGAGGGGTGTCGTAGAAAAGTTGCACCCGGCACACTGCATCGAGGAGAGGAGGAAGGAGTAGGAGGAGGTTGAGGAGGATGAGACGCAGAGAAGAGAAGAGAAGAAGAAAACAGATGTGGAGGAGGAGGGTGGTGGAGAGAGGGTGGCGGACGCGCGCGGCGAGTTTCTGGAGTCGTCGGGACGCCGAAAATAGCGTCCCGATATGATGACGCCCGGAGCGCGCCGATCCTAGATTTCAGTCAGTTTGCAAGCTCGAAAGCTGCTGGGTACACGCGGAAACACTCCGAAGCCACGCTCCTGTCTCGCATTTCCCGTACAGCCTACCGATCAACCCCTCTCTCTCTCTCTCTCTCTCTCTCCTCTATCATCGAGCCATCTTCTTCTTCTTCCTCTTCTTCCTCCTCTTCTCGTCATCTTTTCCCTCTGGACGTCCCGGAATTCCCGGTTTTTCTCTCATCTCGCTCCTCGTGGAACAGTAGCCGAGACCATATATCCTTCGCGACATCGCGGTAAACGCGCGCGGAACAAGCTCGAATTAAAGCACAGCGATGGCGGACGTAGACAGTGTAGTGTACACGACCACCGAGCGTAAGGTTCGCAAAGTGAAGAAGACGACGAAGCGCAGGGAGAGCCACGATCAGAACGCCGAGGTCACGATCACCGAGGTCGACAGCACGCAGAACAATCACCACGCCATCGAAGAGTATGTGCTGGCTGCAGATCTGACTCGGATCGGCCCGATCACGTTTTTTCACGACACCCCTCTTCTTCTTCTTCTCGTCCACGATCGCGACCCTCGTCGAGCGAGGCTCGTTGGCCGTGTCACCCTTATATTTTTAACGAGTGGAAAAGATCCTTCTTTTTTCTTGTCTCTCGTTGCACGGTGAAAATTATATACGTAGAAAAAGGAATCGATGGAATGGAAAAACAAAATGTTTTGGCCGCGAGCTCTATTTGTCTCCTCGCGTTCGACCTACTTTCCTCTCCACCCCGATAAATGAAAATTGAAAAACGGCTTCGTTCGCCAAAATTTTTCACTTCGACTTTGCAATCCCGACGATTATTATTTTCGATCTATTTTTCTCGAATTCTTCGAAAATGAGCGAACGAGCTTAAACAGAGTTTCGGGAAATATTTCAAAGTAAGTGGAAAAAAAAAAACGATCGTGGGGGTGACCGAATGCCAACTTCTCGCCCCCCGAGGGGAGGCTTCTCTCACAGGAGCAAAGATCTCCGCGACGCGAGATCCTCTCGATCGTCTGATCGAGAGGGGGTTGCTTGAAACGATACACGATACGAAGCATTTTCTTTATTATACGCCATACTATGTATATATATATATATATTGCTCTCCCGTACAAAAAATACTCAGCCAGCACATACAACAGCACTCAACCAAGGTACATATTACCAGCAAATCTATCGAAACACCTTGTACGCAAGATACACTGCGGCGACGAAAAAAAAAAAAGAGAAAGAGATAGAGAGAAAGAGAAAGAGAAAGAGAGAGATTGCGAGGAACTTTGCGGGGCTCGGTGGTAATTTCGTGAGACGAAAACGCACGCTGTGAGAAAACGATGCTGTGAGAGGAGCGTATCTGGAAATCGTGTATCTCGCCACACACGTATCTCTTGAAAAAAAGATCCTAAGATCCGCGTATCGTCGAGTTTTTCTTCTTGTTGCTGTACGAATTCGAAACGAGAGATT